GTGCGAGCCGTGAGTGAACTAAATCTCTTCTCTTTGTTTTTGTTTGCTTGTTTTTAGTTACTGTGGAAAAAAATACATAAATTTTACTAAGTACTAATGGGGTGAACCAAGCCATGGAAAAAAGATCCTGGGTCTCTTGAAGAATAAAAAATAGTAATAACGTAGACTACCACCTACATATCTCTCTCTCGGATTTCGGGATGGCGAGTCTATATTGGGGGGAGTTATTTTGCATTAACTTCACCGAAATGTCTTTTACTTTATGTACTTCAACCTGGATGGGTCATCTGGGGATGGAGAGCAGGAGGTAACCCTCAGAAACAGAACTGCCTCACATGCACTAAACAATATGAAAGCAAAGCTCTTGACTAGCCCTTAACTCAGTAACACTTAAGTCCGTATTCTGAGAACTATTTAAATCCTCAAACAATCCAACTCTAGATTTAACGGTATAAGAGGATGTATGTGTCACTAATCAGTTGTTCAAGTATTATAAAGGGGCCGACATTGGTGGGGGAGTATGTAGGGCAATCATTCAGAATGTTACTTTATTTTTAAGTTATTTGTGATAACGTAAGAGCACAAAGTAACACGTGTTACCCAAACCCAGAGCACTCACACACGAATAGAAAACTCTACTGAAGCCATGTCTGTTATTTAAAAATAAGAACATTAAAAATTAAACTTTATTTTCTCATGAAAATGTTGACTGAGGCATGTTACACTGTTATTTTTGGTAGCAAACTGCGTTAAGTCAGCAAGAGCCCTACATTTCCATCATCTGTTTCCAGTATATCCCATTTTCATTACGTACTTCCCATCAATGTAACAGTCAATAAATCCTTACCACTACTACTTATTATATAGTAATGAGTAGTAGTGGTCTTTTTGTTTTCATTATTATCATTTATTTCTACAAGGCTAATCAAAATACCCATTCAGTAAGAGCTATCTACAGAGATAAAGTTTTGGTACCATTTGAGCATATCGAAAACAACCAAACAAAAAACCCCAAGGATGACCAAGTACTAAGGGGCAGATGGGAGTGTGAGCATCTTTGGACATCTGGCCAGTTCATATATTGTCACTTAAATTCCAAAATAGGTTTTAAAAGATGTTACATTTATAATTTTAAAAAATAACAGGAAAGAAATGGACATTGAAGCAAAGATTTCCTAAACAATGAATAGATCACATTTGACAAGGGCATTAACCCACCCAATCACGTCTTTTGCTCTCATTTGCTATAAATATACAGGCCAGCAGGAGCGCGGCTCACGGTTTTGACCCTCAGTGCTACTGAAGCTTCCCGGCCTTACCTAACACATTAAGACATATGGTAAGATATTCCCCACAATGGATGAGAACCATCCCCTAGTGCTTGTAAAATATCCTAATTCAGATATTTAAATTCCCTTCCTAAAATATTTTTACTCTAAGGGGTTGTTTTTCCAAATAACTTTGTTTCATTTTTTTAAAACAAAAATACTCAAAACTACAGTTTTGCTACTCATCAGAAAGAAGTGTTTTAAATATAGGATAGCTTTTTGAAAGTAAGATTTATGCACTCTAAAGAGAGCAGTCATAAACACTTGGGAAATTAAATTTGCATGTGTGTTTATGAAAAATAACCAGTCAAGCTGTATCTGTTTCTATTGCTACTTCCCTAATGTAGCTTGTATCAAGAATAATTTTCTTCAATGCTGGCTGGAAAATTCCAACATTTTTCTCATGTTCATAACACCATAAGGTCAGCACACTTTATTAAACAGTTATTGAGGATATAAGAAAAAGCCAAACTATCATAAATATTTAATAAACATGTTTACATTATCGATACATTAGATACTATATGATAGACCAAGTATTAGATTGGCTTGTAAGAACACAACTGACATACAAATCTTGTGTGGTCCAATTATAGATGTTATTTACCCAAATTTTTACTCCTTGTTGGAAATTAGCTTCTGCCATTATAACAGAAATGCTTCGAAAAGTAAAAAGGGCACTTCGAACAATGATTGGTGTAATAGAAATTTGATTGAACGGCTAGTTATTTTGTGGGATGGTGAATATAAAGCCTAGACACATTTCTCAGCTCATTCCATGAATAAGAGAAAAAGCAAAGGCTAGCAAGAACTTAGACAACTGTAAAGGAAGTGTAATTTACACAAACTTCAAATATAAAGCAAACAAGCTATGAAATTCTGGGTTGTCTTCTAAAATACTCTAAACAGTTTCTGTTTCAAAAGATCCATTTTTCGGAGAAGAGCTTCTTTTTTTGCAGACACTACTTAGGAGTTTAGCTTAGATGAGGGGAGGAAAAAAAACACTCAGGGAAGACTCCTATCAGCTCAATGCTAAGGCTAATCTGTTGCATGTGTGGTTCTACACTAGTGAGCAACTTGCAAAAACACAACGCTGCAGCCGAATACAAGGGAGCTGGAAACTGTTCCCCTGGGGATGAGAGCTCAGAACGACTTTGCCACAGTGGCTCTCCAGCATCACATCAGGGCTCAGGAGGGAACACCAGCATCACACCCCCAGGGCAGCTTCCTGTTGTTAGATAAGAACCCTCTGCTCCTTCTCTGCCCTTGAAATCTTCTGACAAAAAGTGCACAGAAGCAGCTCAACCAGGACAAACCAGCCCCTATTCTCTGTATATTTTTTCCCAATTGCTTGTGTTCCTTTGCCTGGTAGGTTCTGAATGACACTGTCAACTGTGACCATAAAACAAGGCAAATTCACAAGTCCCCACACACTTTTACCCCTAACATTACAAGTGCGGATCTACTATGTGTACAGCCTTTAAAATAGCATACATTATTTACTTTTATCCTACAATGTTACAGTAGCTACTGTGTCTATAAACATTCAAGAGAAACTCTCAGCAGGATTTCAGTTAGTCCTTAGCTACTCCTATTAGTTAACCTTTCAAGCGATAGTCTACTTTAAAGCACATAACACTAAAATTACCAACATATACAATAATAACACAAACCTAGAGCAGTAGCCCCATGATTTCCTAATCTCCTCAATTACAAGCAGAGAAATTCCCAGTTCATTAAAAAAAAAACAAAACTCTGCTTTGCCTGGCATGCCACACCTACAACTATGTGTTTCTTTTCATTATCAGAACAAAAGAGGAAAACTACCTTCGGTGAAAGTTTTTTGCCTTAGAAGTGCAAAAACAGGATAGGATTCCCCCAGACAACATGATTTTTCCATTTCACTTATAAGAACTTTACCCCTGAAGCCCAACATTTATTTCCAGTTAAGAAGCAAACAGTCCAACACCGTTGCTAATCTAGTAACACCCCGAATCCTAAGCATCAGTGCCAACTACAATCCCCTTTATTAGATTGACTTCCCACCATGTACAGTAAAGGATTCACAGCCCATATGGTTTGGGGAAAGGCAAAATCCTCCCTGAATTACAGATAATAAAACCTCGCCATGGGACCATGGCATGGCTTTAAAAAGGTTTTGTTTCCGATTCTGTAACACAGTAACAAACGCTGCGGTACACTGGTGTGGAGCTTTTGTGTTCCCTAATAAGACAACTCCCAGCAGAGCGTGTCCCAAGTTTTACAGTGACATCTATCAGCCAGACCCAGGGAATCCCAACGTCACTCAGCTTCCTTCAGCACCACCGCCTGCGAACAGCTTCTGTCCACCCAGTGGTGCAGTCTTAACAGGTCCCTCCAGCCCAAAGTGCAGTGTTCAGACCAGGAGACGGTGGGTGAACAATGCTCTTTCCTGTCATCAAAACCGAATCATTAGATGTTAATTAACTGCAGGCTAGCAGCACCACAAATGCCAACTAGAAATTTACATTATTAGCCATCTCAGATACAAGTTTAAAGGAACTGACACACTCTGCATCTCAGGCAGACTGACCACAGCATGATGCTGAGCTTTGTAAAAAAAAAAACATGCAATTAACATAACCATCTCTCAGATAAAGACCCAGGAAGAAGCTGTTACGCACATTGGAATTTGTGACGTGTAATCATGTTAATTTGGGGTTTGAGAAGAAACTCTGCTCTGTTTTCGTGATGATGTGATAATCTCGAAATTATACAGATAGTTAGAACCTAGGAATTATTTTATAAATGTAACGCTACCTCAAAAATGCAATTAGCAGCTAATTTCTCACACATGATCCATATTAAGGAGCCATGGAAAGACCACTTATCAGTGGTAAATCGAAAAGGTCTGGGAAATCGACTGTAAACTCATCTCCCAAAATTCTTCAGGGCCTACACGTGAAGCTCCATAATTACATTCATCTGTTCTGATTCACGCCCGTGCCAAAATAGACTCCAAACCGAAATACTGTGAAAACAACAATGCTTGAAAGAATTTTACACACACATACACAACCCACCAACTTTATACTCCTCACACATTCGAAGGGGACAGATTACACCTATCTGTTGAAGGTGGAGTTCACCCAAACCTGCCGCATGTACAGAAATCTCAGCGCGCTGTCCTTTCCTTGTCCGTCTCTCTGCAGACACAAGCCTCTGGCCACTCAGGACTCCCAAGTGAAGGCCAGGTGTGAAAACCCTGTTGAACTCACCCTTCTTCTTCCAAAGAAAAAGCACCACAAAGGCGGCCCACACTCAGCAGTTTCTAACCAAAGCCAAGTTCAATACTGTACTCAGGAGAAAGCAACGGGCCTTTTTCATTCTGCTTGGTGAACAAAACCAAGGGATTAAAAAGTTTCAGGCGGCCCAAACAAATACCAAACTTGAGCTTCCATCCATGGCAAAGCCTAGAAAACAGGGAACTGGAGAAGGCGCTGCCCGTGGAATTCAATCGGCGAAACCTCCTTCTCTTGAGGTTCGCTTAGATAAGTCTGCGACCCCGAAACTGAACTTGCAAGACCACATCTGCTCCGCGGCCGTCGAACCCCGGGAGTGCGCCCGCCGCGCTCCGCTCGCCACCTCCCCGCTCGCCCGGGCCAAAGCACGCCCCAGGGGCGCGGGACTTACCGCACCGCTTGCACAGCACCCTGCTGACCTCCTTCTTGAGGTTCCGGCCAGTCTCTAGAGGGGGGAAAGATGCTCGGAAGGCGGCCGGCGCGTGGCTGCTGCTGTTGGTGTCGGGCTCCATGAAGAAGATGTACCTGCTGTCTTCCTTGAGCCTCCCGCAGGAGGGGAAGGCGGGGTGGTCCCAGGCGCCCAGGCGCACGGTGAGCAGCGAGTCCTTCTTCAAGCCCCCGGCTTTCACCGCCCACACCTGGTGCACCTTCACGAGATAGGGAGCCTCTTCCCCCGGGGGGCCCACGCTGGGCGCCGGGGCGGTGGGCCAGGAGGGCACGGTCCCGTTGGCAGTGGGCAGCGGATCCCGGGCGCGCGGCCCCAGCGCTCCCGGGCCAGCGGCTGGCAGCTGACGCTCGCCTTCCCACGCCCCTGCCTCGCCCGCCGCCGCCTGCCTGTCGAGTGCCCCCTGCTGCCGCCGCGGCGGGTGCACCTTTCCCTCGATCACCACCGCGGCGCGCTGAGCCAGCTCCTGCACCGAGCCCACGCTGGGCGGGGACGAGTAGCACACCGAGGCCCCCGCGGGAACCGCGTCGTCGCCGGCGGCCGCCCCCGGCGCCAAGGCCGCGGTCCACAGCAGCAGCAGCAGCGGCGGCAGCGGCAGCGAAGAGCGGGCGGCGCGGCCGGGCCGCGGGGCCCCAGGGCTGGCACCCTCGGAGCGGTGCGGGGCGCGTTGCCCTCTCATGGTGCGAGGTGCGCGCGGACTCCGGACTGTCTGGATTCGGACTCTGCCTCGCTCTCTTGCGCTGCCCTGCCTCCCTTTTCCTCTCCCCCACCCCCCCACTTCTCCCGCCCTTACCCCCTCCTTTTATTTATTTATTGGGGGGGTGGTGTAGGAGAGTTGTTTATAGGAGCTGGGGGAGGAGGAGGAAGGGGGGGAGGAGGTGGGTGGAACCACAGAAAGGCGAAGAGGTATAAGGGTAAAAAATTAAAGCAAATGGGGAAAAAAAAGCCGCTGCCACCTCCTGGGTTGCTGGGAGTGACAGGTCCTCCGGGCGCCGCCGCCGCGCCCGAACCCTGCTGTCGGGGCTGCCGTCACTGGAGGAGGACGCGGAGGTGGCGGAGCTGCTCGGCGGGTAACAGTCCTTTGTGTGAAGTGATGCTGCGGCGGCTGCTGAGGCTGCGAGCGAGCGGCTGGGCGAGCGGCGCGCCAGGGCGAGCGCCCTGGAGGCGGAGTTGCGTGCCTGGAAATCGCGGGGCGGCCGCGGCGGCAGCGCCCTGCGCCGCGCCAGCCTGTTTACCTGAGCTGCGAACTCGCCCCGCGCCCGCCGTGCCCATGCCGAGGCCGGAGTCGGTCCTCCTGGGTGCTCCCTGCCCTGCGCGCCGCCTCCCTCTCCGCTGCCCCGGGTGCTGCAGTGGGAGGCCAGGCGGCAGACAGGCTGCAGTCCGAGTGGGCTGCGCAGATTGACTGGGGAGTGAGAGGTGACGCTTCGGTAATCGGGACCTGTTAGCCCAGACGCGGCGTGGGGGGGCGGGGGCGGGTGAGGACCGGGGGACACAGCAGATGCGGGTCACCGCTTCACAAAAGTTTTGGGTGAACTGGTTATTAGAGAGTCAAAGGGAGCAACATGTTCACAGGGAACTAGCAGCAATTAAGCAACTTCTCCTGCTCACTCTCCTCCGAACGCACAGCGGGCACTCCAGGTATGACACCGCGCTCACTCCAGTCTCCTGTGACACTTCAGTCGTGGGCGCCCTTGCCTTCCCTTTGGCTGAAATCCCTTGCTCGCCGTGACTGTGTGACGTGTGGCACCACTGACATGAGCACTGTTGCTCCATAAGGCCGTGTTGTGTAAAGTTTATGGCACTTTGTCAACTAGGCACTTCAGAAAGAAATGACATTAAATGGCTACCGGAGCAAAACATCCCAGACGTGAGGAAGCTGTGGGTTAAATTCAGATGCTCCGTCTGAATACCGGCCCCCCACACTAACTCCACCCCACTCCATCCTCCCCCTATTCCACCACCTGTCCTGTAAAATTTAAGGAGCTACTTTAAAAACAAGAATCCATCGTCTCCCAAAGATGTTCTTTTCAAGCAAGTACCACTCAACAGAAAAAGAACACATTTTTAGCAATTAAAGCAAAATATTTCCCTTAGGCTCTTTTACGGCAAAATATATATATATATATTCAATGACCTAATAAAACTGGGTTGAAGTTATTCAATGGCCAATAGGTCCATATTGTGAGAATTTAAGATTTTAAAAGCACTTAAGAGTGTTCCATAATAGTCTTTTTTTTGGGGGGGGGGGTCTTCAAATATTTTTTGGAAAGCCATGCAGTGCCTTCATTCATTGTATTTCAAATCACTTTGAATTTCATTTTGTGAAAACATGGCCTGGATTTTCTAGCACAGAAAAAAAAAACCCTAAAAATTGTTTCAGGAATGTAGAGAATTATCCAACTTAAAAAGCAAAAAAGTACACCATAATTACTGCTGCACTGCAGTCATTTCTCAATTTCTCCTGTTTCTTAAATAACTATCCTGTCTGATAACACACAATACAAAGAGCAATTGTGCAACACAAACATTTACATATGCTTCTGAAGTCTGATTGAAAATATTCTGTTGGCACTGGATAGCCAACCAATCACAGGGCAGCTGCAGCTGCAGGATCTGTTGGTTCACGCCATCGTGCGTATTTGGAACACCACTTCCATACTGCTGAGTGCTATCGTAACCGTTCTGGTAAGTCTATATACCAGCAGACACAAAATTACTTCCAAAGCTCCCATTGGCATACTATGGAGCACTGTTAACACCATTCTGGGTTTTGGACCCCCAGATCTCTCTTACCCAGACTAGAGTAGCTTCTATCATAATTTTCCCTGTTTCTAAAGGTATTAAACCCACCTCTTTTTCCCAGACTACCTGTTTCAATGGCCATCCTTCATGCCTTCTCTACCCCTGGATCGACGTGAACCTCAGTCTTCAACCAACTGAAGCAACTTGCAATTAATTGCTTGGTTAGCTTCATAAAGCACAGAGATGAGGGCGCTCACGCGCTTCATGTTATTAGGTGTAAAGAAAGTATATGCTGTGCCTGTTTGGGTGCTGCAAGCGGTTTTTCCATTTCAATGAATATAATCTTCGGAGGAGTTAGGGTGGTCATAACCGATCACAAATTTCCCATCTTCCACATTTGTAAGGTGTTGGCATGTAGCAAAATAGGAATGTATGGAGTTTCGCACACTGTGACAGCCAGACCAAAAATAAAAACTTACACACTTGTATTTTCCAAGAAGGTACTGCAAAAAATACAGTTAAAATAGTTACCCTTTCCCTGTAGGAATACCATCGAGGTTGGGGGTGAGAAAGCACACATCATCTGTGTCTTATTAGCCACCAACTGATAGAGCCTGTCAAAGGATGTGTATTCCCTAACACATTCCCAAATCAGCAAGTGCCCTGACAGATCATCAACTGACGTCTGAATGCTGCTGTGCAGTAGGGCCCCTTGAAGGCTCATAGCAGCCTCTTCATGTGCTCATTTGGAGGACCTTTAAACAAAAATGTGCGTGGTCCTTTGCATCGCACACTCGTCGGAAGTCCAGGATTCTGCCCACACCGCTTGTCTTGCCAAGACCTTAACCTTACAACTGCAACTGCAAGAAAAACATACCTGTCCCCCCAAAGTTGCTTTCATACACTGTGTCTAGGCAGTCGCTTCCAAGAAGCCAGGATTCACGTGAGAGCGTGTGTCTCTCTGGCAGATCTGACATAATGAGTACTGTGTCAGTGAGGGAGGAACTTTGAAAGCATTGCTCTCTCTTCCCTCCAAGTGTGGGGAGTTGCTCCTGCAGTCAAGCTCCTGTGCCAGAACGCCCGACTTGTAAAAGGCTCAGTACCTTTTAAAGCTGCCTTCTGCATTTCAAACTTGAACAAAAATTATATTGAACATTGAAGTTTGGAAATATTTCTTTGACATTTTGGCAAACTCCATGAAATGCAAAGACTCAGAGACCACGGTAAATAGTCTGAAACAACAGTACACCACAGTAGTCATGCAGAGCACGGGACAGGAGAAATGCCGTGGCAGCGAATTGGAAGCACAGCTCCCACGTTTTCCTCCAAAGAGCACAGTTTACGCTAGGAGCTGTGGTTTCTGCCTTCTGAAGATCGCTGGCACACTTTTGGATTTCCATCTCTCCCGCTGACTGGAAGCACTGGCCCTCCATCCCTCTCAAGTCCTCCAATTGTCATGATGGGGCCTTGCCACCAATACTTCACTGTGACATGGAAAACAAACACACAAGCAAGCTAGCCCTCTGCAGGCCTGCAATCTGAATAGAAGCTTTTTGGATTCTGCATTAGTTTAGAACCCAGTCATGTTCCTGTTGACTCTTGTCACCATGGATACCCATGGCAGGCCACCCGCCTCCCCTCCTTTTCTAGTAAGTTCATCACATCTTCCTTTGGATTGAACAAAAACAATAGTTTTGTTCTCCTTCTCATTGGTGTCATCTTCCATCAGACGACTAAGTGTTTCATCCTGTTCTGCGTCATGACACAAATCCACAGTCTGAAGAACCTCGTGGTTCACCCTCAGTCCTGGGGCACCAGTGTTTTACATGCACACGGTCTCCCAGGAAACCTTCAGCAAGCTGTCTTACGTCTTTTGGCCAAGTTGCACTCGACATCATGGTTCGCCTGTCAGGTCTCACCTCATCCACCATCTTCCTTACTGGGGGTTCAAAGCCCATATCCAGCATGCTTCATCACGGACAAAGTAGGTGGGGTTTTTTCAGATTTGTTTTCCCACAGTCAGTCTTCCAGGTGTTGCGATACAGGTTTCCACATATTTTGGGTCCCTTGGGAGCACCCCCATAGATGCACGTAGACTTCAGTCGGCGTGCTCTTTAGTATTCAGCTGCTCGCTGCACCTGTTGGACCAGTTCCTGAGTTGACCACTAAGCAAATAGGCCCATTACCTCTAGCGGTAGCTAATGATGGATGGGGACAATGGCAGGCAGCAAGTAAGACAAGTTTCCCCAGATGCAGTCTGTGCTACTCCAACCATATCCAACCCACTTAGAGCCACTGGCCATCCCTGAGCTTCAGTGGCAGTGAGTTCAGTAAAGTCCTCCCTTGCAGTCATGCCCATGACATCTCGCAGGGTAGTTCGCTTCATGAAAATTCAGAACAGGCTCTGGACAGTTGTGGCCTCCAACTTTAATTTCCTCACTTCTTCTGTATGGTTCCCCCTCTTGCTCTGTGTGCCTCGCCAAAACAGGGAGTTCTTAATAAAAATTCTCCCTGGTGTTTACAAAACTTCTTTCCTGATAAAGGCTCTGCCTTACTTCCTCCAAATTGAGGTGCACCAAACCCTCCACCCCAGCCAGGCTCTCTGTCACTCCAATGGCCCGACATGGCATCAGTGGTTGCGATTGGCAGGGAATGAAGTGCAGAGAATCAGGTGTGACCAGTCACACCTGGAAGTGGCTTTGGCAACAGTGAAGTCTTGCCAAGGTGGCAACAGAGGACAGGCGGCCATGATAGGAGCCGAAGCTGCTCGCCTAGAGACAGGGGGAAATGAGTAAGGTTCATAATATTCTTTATTCCGGGATTCTACAAGTTGCCTCTGGCAGTTTCTTGAAAGTATGTGGCATAAGCTTTAGACTTTTTTTACATAAAAAATAAGAGCAGAGGATAAGCCACCAAGATATTTTTTTTTCTTGGCAT